GTGTGATTAGGTCAAAGTGGGGAGCAATTTATTTATCTGGATGGGTTACTGGGAACTAGGAAAGTTTATAATTTGTTGCCGGTTTATTGGTCACATTTATTGTTATCTTTAATTGTTAATCCTTAATTGTTATCCTTAATGCCCAACACAATGGGTTCAAGGACACTAGGTGTTACTGTCAAACATAAACAATGCAAATAATAATGCAAAATATACATAATCATGTTTGTGCCTAAATCATTGCATGCACCCATTTAAAAACAAAATATATAGTATTAACAGACCAAAGCAATTATGAAATTTGTATTCATTAATTCATTAGAGAGGAAGGGTGGTCCAGTGGTAAGGGCATTAGGCTAGGTCTTGGGAAAACAAGGGTCACTTCCCTACTCTGCCACAGACTTTCTGTATGATCTTGGGCAAGTTAATCTCTGTGAAATGGGGATAAACAGAACTTCCTGACCTCACAGGGGTTTTGTGAGGATAAATCCATTAAAGCTTGTGAGGTGATCAGATACTGTGGTGCTGGGAGTCACATAAATACCATAGATAGTATATAAATACTTGTACTTATGTTAATACATAATTGTGTGTGTATGTGTGTGTGTGCAAGATTGTGTGTGTATTACATGCATTCACTCATGTTCACACACTCAATTATGCATTAATAACATACACTTGCACAATCATTTAGGCACTCTAGTATATTCAAATACAGGCACACACAAGTTCACATGATCACACCTGCTTATGCACACACAGACTCCCATGCTCATGCGCGCGCGCACAAACACACACACACACACATTGTGGTACTTTCAAAAAGGGCTCAGCATTGGCCTAACTTGTGCCTCCATGAAGCCAATGGGATTACTCACATGAGTAAAGTCACCTGCCTGCGTATGGATTTGCAAGATCCGTGGCCATGAGCTTCAGTGGGACTCTGGATAGGCATAAGAGTCTGCCTGTGTGGATCAGAATGAAGGATCAGGATCTAAATTTGTAAATTACTTATAGTGAAAATTCAAAATGAAGAAAAGGGGGCTATCAAAGATGTTTCTATGCAACAAAAAATATTAACCCCCCATTAATTTCACTTCCCTGTCCTGTTACATTTCTAAGGTCCTAACTTTGGGCCTTTTGTCTCAAAACTGGACATCAGCAGGTCAAAAGGGGGCAGCTAGTTTTGAGAAATATTTCCTCTTCAGCAAAGATGCGTGCTGTGCTGCCCAAGGCTAGTGAGTCACAAGGTCTAAGCAGTGTGGCATCTATCCCATCCCCCACTCCTTTTTATATTTGCATAGCCATAATTGCACTTAAATTAGAGAATAATAAGGGGCAAATTTAGTCAGATGGAAATAAATTTGCAGGAGTTTTATTTTATTTTGATTAAAAAAAAAATCCTGAAGCCACCTTTTTTGTTTTGGTCAAAATTCTCCTCTATTTTCCTTGTACTATGAATTGTGAACTATATCACAAAATGGGTAAAACTTCTTGAAGAAAATGGTGGTGTTAACCCGAAGGGAAAAATCATTAATCTTGCTGTATTTCATTCCATTTTAAATATAGAAGTTTTTTTTTTCATATTTTATTTTTTTGGCACTGGGAGATGGAGGAAGGACAGGAGAGCTGCAAAGGACTCAATGTCCCTTCAAGTCAAAACATCTATTTTAAAAATACTCTTTTTTAAAAAAGAAAAAAAAAGCCTTCTCTCCTGAATTCATTTTTCTAAATAACAGATACGAGATGTTGGGTTTTTTTCTTCTCTCAGCAAAGAGGACCCCCTCGGCGTATTTTTCTTTTCAAATGTGAAATGAGGTGGAAAATCCTCATTTCACGACAGGAAGGACAAATATTGACACAAAGTTAATATTTGTCAGTAGCCCTGGAAGCAACCTGAGTGTTTAAAAAAATAAATAAATAAAATAAGCAACGGGATTCGATGGTTTGTGAATCTGCAGAAGGGGAATCTGCTGCCTGAGTATAAAGTAAATAGATAGTCAACGCAAGCACACACCCCAATTTCTCTGCATTTCACACATGCGCACAAACACACGTGTCCACTGTCCCTCTCTCACACACAGACTTCTCTATGTATATCAGACACACACACACACACTTCTCTCTCTCTCTCTCTCTCTCACTCACACACACACACACACACACACACACACACACACACACACACACACACTCTA